TATTCTTCCTGAGTTCTCTGAGTCCTTATTGTCTTCAGCTCGAAATAATCCACATACCAGAGTGGTGCCTCCTGGGGTAGCTTGCCCTGAGCACCATCAGTATCAAATGAACTATTAGCATTTGAAGTCCCTCACTGTTAGCAGTGGTGTTTATACCCATGAACATTAATCGTCACAAGCTTCTGTGAAGTCCTTAGGAGGGAAAGAATGATGCCAACTTGACAGATGGGGTGCTGCCAGGTTAGAGAACAGCCCATACCCCTGAGCTCTTCAGTGACTTGGGTGAAATGTGGCTTTTTGTTTGGTTTGGAGTCACACTGTTTGCTGCCTGCTGCTGTGACTGGGTGGAAAGGTCTGAAGAGGCTGCCGACCTGACACTTACCTGTAGAGGCCCCTTCCTGCTCAGACATCACAGCTCTGAGCTGGGGATCTAGGGGCTTTCCTTGATTGAGAGCTAACCAGAAATTTCCTTGTGTTCCACGTGTAGGAAGTGAGCAGCAGCTCCCGTCGCCTGCCGTGGTCTTAGGGGGCCGGGAGAGGCTTAGTTTGGTAACATTTCCCAGAACCTCATGTTGAGATTGAGTGAGTGTGTGCAAGCCCAACCAAGAGCAGGCAGCCAGCCTTTCCTCTGAGGAGGCCAGTAACCTGAGCGGCAGACAGACCCTCCTCGAAAGCCTCCCCGCCCTCAGGTCACACCTACCTGCAGAGTGTGCCGGAAGGTGGGCAGGAGGTCCACGAGGGTGGGCCTCATCGACCAGTCTGGGTCACTGAAGTAACAGCTTCTCAGGCTGATGCTCCTGATCGGGATCTCCTGCAAGAGGATCCGGGCCAAGCGCTCGTACTTCATGACCCGCTCAAAGAAGAAGTTCACCTTCAGGTTGGCGGCGTGCCTGGCCAGGTTGGCCCAGGACATGCCCCAGATGACCTGCCCGTGGGGGTCATGAATGTGGCATTTGATGTTTATGGTCCCGAGGGTACCGGCATTGTTCTCGCACAAGTTCTCGAGCAGCTCGTCGGAGATGCAGTTGTAGTTGAGGGTTAGGGACACCAGCTGGTGGAATGCGGCCATGGCCTTGTTGAAGCGGGGGCTGCTGTAGACGGCGAGATGGTGGCTGAAGTAGTCCTCGAGGTTGAGCTCCGACGCCACGCTCTCGTTCCTTAAGTAGCTCAGGGAGTTGAGAACATGGCAGCCTTGCTCCACGGTCAGCCTGGCCCCTTTCAGGTTGAGATAATCCAGGTGTTTGCCCATTTTCTTTAGGAAGAAGCTCAAGCTTTTGATGAAGGAGCTCTTGATGCTGTTCCTCCAGACGAGGCGGTCCAGCTCCAGGTGCTGAATGGAGAGAGATTTCAGACGGTTGTTAGTCTTGCCCAGCCACGAGAGAAGGGCTCGCATGGTGATCTGGAACTTCTTGGTCAAGACAGCGTTGTAAGGATTCAGGAATTTGATCTCCAGGTGCTCCAGGTAACGACCAAATTTCTTAACATACCAAAGAGCTGACTCGAACTCGGATGCGTGCACCCTGGAAGGTCTCCCACTGAACGTGATGCTCCTGTATCGCCAGAGCTCGGCGGAATACATCGTCTGGTTCCACTTTCTGCAGACAAGGGCCGCCCTGGATCTGTCCCTGTCTCCCAGCCACCAGAAAACACGCCGCAGGCACACATCGGGCAGGGTGGCCCAGCAGCTCTGGTCTGGCGGCTGGAGCAGTTGGCTTTCTTCGTCCATCAAGGAACAGCGATGTCAGTACAGCTGTGTGGTAGGCAGGGCTTCCAAAAATGAGGAAAGAAAAGCAATCACTCGTTTTCTGTGGGGAGGAAGAAGGAAGAGCCATTACCTGCCAAACAGAAATTAAACCCAATTGAATGAACGTGCACTGTGGCCGTGGGTGTAGTAGGCACCATGCTGGTGCAGGTGGTGCAATAATAAAGTCCCCCTACAGTCCACACCTGGAAGGAGTCACGGTCCAGCAGGGGTCTCTAAGGGACACAGACCAGGAGTCAATTACAATACGGTGAGCCAAGTGGAAAGGTTCGGGCATATTCATGGTGCAGGGTAGTACAAACAGTGGGCGATGAATTCTGTCTGGGTAAGGAAGAAGTAGAGAGGGCTGCTCAGAGGTGGTGTCGTCTGAGCTGGGTGTTGCAGGGTGAGAAGGATTTGCAAGGCAGACCAGGTTGGCGCAGAGGTGGCGGTGGAGGAACTGATGCATTCTGGGGCAGAGGGAACAATATGGCGAAGCCACAGAACTGTGAATGCACGTGATGTAGTCACATTCAGGGAAGTAAAAATTGCTTGGAGCTTGACTTGTAAGGGGCGGGGAATGATGGAGCTGGAGCTGGAGCAGTGGGAGGTGCTGGGTCAAGGGGCCCTGAGTGATGTGATACAGGCTGTGTCCTAGAGGCCGGGGAGTCCCACTCTCCCCTCTCCTCAAGACTCTGGAATTCTGACATGGCCGGCTCCCTTCCCCAGATGAGAATCACTGTCGGTGCTGAGCTACATTGAGGATGGCTGTGTTTACATTCAAAAGGTAGAGCAGTGGAACGAGGGTGGAGGACCTCAGCTGAGGTCACGGGGAGCCAGGGAAGGTCTGAGGGTCGCATGTTCAGAAGTGATGTGGTCAGTCTTGAGGTACAGAAACGACACTCTAGGAGAGGGGAGGGAGGATGGTCCAGAGCAGCGTCTAGGCTCGACCCTGGGACTGGGGCAGCATTGTGGTGGGAATGGGGTGGGTGGTGAGTTCTTTGGAGGACATGATCTGGTAACTGGTGAACACAGAACTGGGAGGACTGGAAGGTCTCTGACTTGGCTGTTGGATTGCAGGTGGTACCTCCAGCCAGGCTAGGGAGTCCCAGGCGAGAGCTGGGCAAAGGCCCCACCTGGTACGGCAAGCCCTCGGCTAGACCTTTCAGGGCCATCTTCTGAAACCTTCATGACTTTGCTTTCAACGTTTCCCTGCCTGAAAACTCCTCTCCTTTTCTTTACCTCTTCCCAACACCCCATTCTTTAAGGTTCAAGCCCTACCACTCCATGAAGCTTTTATTGGGTACTTTACCAAGTTGCCCAAGATTATGTTCGTGGCTCATAAAAACGCAGAACTGGAAGACATCTGAGAGTTGATTTCTTTACAGATGGAAACTGAGCCCCAGAGAGGTGAAGGGGCTTGCCTACGGTCACACAGCAAGTTAATAACAGGGCCCAGGCTAGAACCTGGGCTTTCTGATCCTTTTTCTTACCTCCACTTCTCAGGCCTCAGGTGCGGAGGGACAGATTAATCATATTTTTCCGTTCAGGACACACATTTGTGCAAGACCTCTCTTTGGTTTTATTTATTCCCTTTCAACTCTACGTCCCACTCCATTGCCCCCTACCATAGGCAACTATTCCATTGTGTTTGATGTACTTCTTTTTGTTTGTGTGCGCGCTTGCCAAATGAGCAATTAATGTGTGTAAGCATCATTCATGTTGCTCCTCGTACATCTCACTCACTGCATCTATCATCTGAATAGAACCCGAGGTGGGTACCCCCGCCTTTCTCCTAGCCATACCTCCTGGGATGGACCCTGGCCTGCTCCAGCTCCCACCAGCACCACAGTGGCACAAGCATCCTCAGGCGAGCTCCTGGGGAGGACTTTCCTTGGGATCTTCTCTCATGTCTTTGTCCTCTCTGCCCCATCATCGCTTACGAACAGTTTGACTCCTGCCTCCAGCTGGCCCTCCCATCTCCAGATCCAGACAGGCTTCTGCGGGATTTGGCAGCAGCCTGCCCCCACCCCGGACACGGTGCTCCAGCGGGTCCCCAGAGCCACTGCCTCCATATTCAGCTTGCCCTCTTCTCCTGCTCTCACCAGTGTCCATCCTGTAGTATAATCTGTGTCTCAGCCTTTCCCTCCCACGGGACCCACACACTCCTTGAGACTAGGACAGCCTCGTTCTTCTTTTGAGTAGGTACTTAAACATTTAACAAATGAAGAAATATTGTTGTGTCTTCAATTACACATAAACTGCCCGCGGCTAGGGGCCTCCACAGCACTTCACATGGAGCGAGGCACCTAAGAGATGCTCAAGAAAAGCTAAACCAATTCAAAAGCTAAGCAAAACCCTCTGCCCCAGCAAAGTCACTGGCGGGAAGAATTGTCAGACACTTTCAGCCATGGGGTGGGGCTGGAAGAGTATTTTTGGTGGGAAGTTGTTGCAAGTAGTCCAAAAGTCCTAGGTAATTACTGGGACACCCCCCACCCCAAGACCTCCTCACCAGGGGGAGGCAGAGTGGGCTAGCGGGTTAGATCCTGGTCCTGTCAATTGCTATGTGTGACCTTAGGCAAGTTAACTGCTTTGTGCCTCAGCCTCCACCTCTGTAAACAGGAGTAATAATAGTCCCTTTCTCCTAGTGTTGGGAGGATTAAGTGAGCTGACATATGGAAAGCGCCAGAACAGTGCCTGGCACACAGTAAATGCCTCACAAATGTTTGCTGCCATCAGTAAGTTGGTGCCAAGGTACTTCTGCAACATCCCTGTGTGGAAGGTATGAACACACCCATTTTACAAATCAGGAAACAGAGGTGTTGGAAGGTTAGGAAAGTCTCCTGGGGAGATCGCGGGCTAAGGGAGGAGGTGGGATTTGAACCCAGCCTAAGGACTCTCAAACCTACCATACCATATCACACAGCGCCAACTCTGGAAGGAAACTTAAGGTGTCCAGTCACCCAGGGAAGGGGAGGTGCCGGAAGCTTCCGAAAGGAGACTGGTGAGGAGGGCCGCCCACTCCTCCCCGCGCTGGCCTCCGGGCGTCTCCCGGCCACCCCTGGCCTGCATCTGCCCGCTCCCGCCCGCGCCCGCGGCCCCGGCGGCCCTCGCCCGCCTGTTACCCGCTCGCTGCGCCCCGCTCGGGCTGCGCCCGGTTTGGGCTGCAGGGACCGCGAGCGCGCCTGCCTGGTCCGCCCGCGCCGCCTCTGCTCCAGCGCCAACTCCGCGACTTCCCGGGGTCCCGCCCTGCCCTGGCGGAGGCTAAATGCCGGGCGGCGGGCCGCCTTTGTGACGCGCCGCCACCTGCAGGGCTCTGCTCATCCCCACTGGGCGCAGGGGCCCAAACCTGGGGTAGCCAGATCAGTTGATCGTGCGTGTAGAGGGCAAGGCAGGTCCCCGCCCATACTGTCCAGGAAGGTGCCCTAGCCGGGGGCTGGGGGGCAGGAGTCTTGGCCTGCGCGCAGGGTGAGGATGGGCATGCCCCCTGCCTTCCCCTTTTCATGCAAGGAAAAGGTGCTGCCTCGAACTTGCGGCTCAGTCCCGCTCAGTCCGCTGCCTTTCCGGTTCTCACCCAGCCCGGGGTCCTGCCGAGTCCCGAGAGACTCAGTTTGTGTGCCTCTCTTTTGGAAACCGCCTCCGCGCGCTCTGCCACCGCCTCCACTTTCCCCAACGTAGACAGGGCTCCCCAGGGAAAGCCTCTCCTGACAAAGCCTGAGAGCCGCCCCACCTTTCCAGTTTCGGGAGAGTGGAGCGCTCTAACCCATCCACTTTCCTTGGCCCCTCCCCTCCCGGCAGGGGCTGGAGCCCTAACGGGTCTCCCCAAAGACCAGGCAGAAAGGTAGGGGCATACTGTTTGCCGGTAGGTGGATGCATCTCTGGGTTTCCAGAACCGCTCTCCCTGCCAACAGCCTTCAGAGGCGCCTGTTTGCCCTCCACCTGGCCTTTGTCTACCACGAGCCTCATTTCTCTCTCCCTGCCTCTGCCTCTCCTTTCGTGCCCCTGCCTTTTCCCCGTGCCTTGTCTTACTCGCTGTCCCAGCAGCTGCCATCCCTGGCGCGGAAAACCAGTGAGGAATCTAAAGGAAGGTGGACAAGAAGCTTCCAGGGAGGGTGTTTTTATTCTCCGGGGACAGAGCGGGGTTCCCCAGGGCTTCCAGGCTGTAGGGCCTGGATACTTGATCAGAATTCTCAGGCAGAAGAGCAGGAGCCTTTTTCTCTCCTCGTTTATCTGTAGCTCTCGGGCAAACCAACATCTCTGTTCAAAAGGAAGAAAAGAGTTAAAATCCAAATCTTTTCTTCTACAAGAAAGAAACCCAACAAATAAAACCCATCTCTTTCCCCCAGACTCCCACAGAAGGGAAGCGGGGAAGCCAGTGTAAAAATGAAATCCTCTAAGTCCGCAGTACCTTTTCTTTTCCAGATCTAGCTGGAACTTCTCGCTTGCTTTCCTTTTGATGCAGCTAACAACCGGCATTTCTCCTAAGGAAATGGATATAAAAAAAGGTCGATGTGTTTAAAGTAGGAAGTGCTAGTTCCTGGGATCTCTCTGGACATTGCTATCCCCAGTTCCTGGAGCACCAACCCACAGCTACAGATGGCACAGAAGAGATGCGGAGCCAGTGATCCAGAAGGGGCCTGCTGGAGGCTCAGGGCAATGCGTAATAGAGGGCTGTCATCATCAGGGGTGTGGATGAACAGATTAGACAACACCCACACCAGGAACTCATGCAGCCATTAAAAAAAAAAAGCCACATCATTTAGCTTGCAGAGATGTCCTTGCATATTGCTGAATCATAACATTAAGATGCAAAGAAATGTGTATAATCGGACTCCAAACATGTATATTTGTATGTGGTTATATAATAGGGTTGCCAGGTAAAATACAGGATGCCCAGTTAAAATTTAATGTCAGAGAAACAAAGAATTTTTTTTAGGATAAATACATCCCATGCAATTATTTTATAATTATTTTTGTCTCAAGTAATGTATTTTTATTTGCTAAGTCTGGCAACCCTATTATATAAGGACAGAGAAAAGTATGGAAGAAAACAACAAATTGTGGAAGGCAGGAGAATATAGCACTAAGAACACCCCTGGCCAGCATGCGAGTCACCCATCTTTGTAAAATTATATGCTTCTGCGCATATAGAGATGCGTAAAGAAGTTAGAAAAAAAGATGTAGGTCTATCTTTTTGTAAGGAGTGCATCATATATTAAGTGAAAAAGGGAAATGGCAGAGTAATGAGTAGAGCAAGATAACATATGGGGAAGGAGAAACAATGTGTGTGAGTGAGGTACAGCTTTGAAAGACACCCACCAGGCTGCTGCAGGTGGTATCTTGGGGCATGGAACCTGGGAGGTGGGGTGGGAGTGGGGGAGGAGTAGCTTTGCCTTTCTATTTCTTTGGATGGTATTATATTTCTTTGGATGGTATTATGTCAACTGGTCACAACAAAATCTAGTACTTTTTTATTTTGAAAAACATCAAATAATGAAAGCTTTTTTCTTTTTTTTTCAAGAGATGCATCCAATCTGGAGCTTAAGAGCATACGTTTAGGGACTATATACACGTGGATTCCAGGCTGGACTCTGCCACTCTCTAATTGTATAAGCCTGGGGAAGCTGCTTGGCCTTTCTGTCCAGTGTCCTTATCTGTAAAATAGGGATAAAATGCCAGCCTATTGTTTCTAATGAAGATTAACCATTTGTAAAGAGCTTTGCCTTGTAACTGGCACATTATAGTTAACTACCTCTAATGCTAATTCTTATTGTGACTATAAAATTATCTAGGAAGTAAAAATAAGGGTATTGAGGGAAATGGCTGTAAACCCTGATCTGCTGGAGGCAAGCCACAACTGGCTTAGGATCTTGACCAAGGCTCTGATCTCTGGGCCTCAGTGCCTTATCTACACCATGAGAGAGCTAGGCTGGATGCCCTCTGCTTCATTCATTTACTCAACAGTTTTGGAGCATTTGCTGTGGGCAGCCCCTGGGCTAGGAACTGGAAACACAGAGATGGAAGACCCAGCTCTGCCTTCAAATGTGGCCCAGCGTCTGGGAGATCATGCAAATAAACCAGTTGCTAAGTGCTATGAAAGAGTGGATTTGGGCACACAAGGAAGGAGAAGATCCAAAGGGCCTTTCCAGCAGCAATGTCTATGAACATCCCTTGGACTTTTTTCAACACTGTCCAGATGGTTCACAGCCAGGTAAGGAGAGAACGGGAGCTGGGTACCTGATGTTGGTTCAGGGTTGGCAGGGGAAGTAGGATACCACACTGAGAACATCTCCTCAGCATGTCATAGGCTGCCTCGTCTTCTACAGGAGAGCTGCTCCTGGGCTTGCGCTCAGACTTCCAAGGCCGATCCAGAGCTTTGTTTGTGCCTCTTGGTGCTTGCTTTGTTGACTTTTCAGAAAGAGGAGGAAATCTGTTTATAGTTTTCATCTTTGGACGGACATCTTTCTCTGCCGTGGAAGTTTGATCTCCAACAGCCTGACTCGGAAGGGATGGAGGAGGAATTCTTGGCTCTCCAACTGGAAAATATTTCACAGACTCTGAGACTGTACGACATTGATCCTGCAAGTGTGAGTAATGCATAAAATTAAAAAATGACTTCAGCTTTAATGGTTGGACAATGCAATAGACTAGATAACCTGAAAATTTCCCACTATGAACAATTAGAAATTCTGGATAAAATATGACAAACATTTAAGTTGGTAGCTGACTTTGGAAGAAAGAAAGAAAGCTCCATGTCCCAGGAATGAAGATCTGACCTGTTAAGCACATGAGCCAACACTTTGGGAGGACATGTGGGTCAATCTTGTAACTAAGGGCTTGGATGAGAGAAAAGTCCCATCCATACAAGGTGGGGAATTGGAAGTAAGATGCCCCTTTCCCTGCATGAAGCTATGAACCTTGAAAGCTAAACTATGGCAGCTAAGAGAAAAGAATTGTCTAACTGGAAAAGGAAAGTGGCAAGGAAGCTTGTCTACCTTGGGCTGGAATTTGAGTATGGGGAAGAAAAACTGATGCTCCTGAAAACTCAAAACCACAGGCCCACACCATTTTTGTATTTGCGGTTCAGATTTACATTAGTCTCATGGTCTGGGAATACCCAAACAGAAGAATTAACATAAAAATTGGGATGTATGGCAAAAGCAATCACAAAATCCCTCTGGAGGGTACATAACCTCAAACCAAGTCATAGAGGATTCTCACAGGCAGAATCCCACCAAATAGAAACTCACAATTCAAACTCACAGACATGCAAGGAAGCAATCTACCCTGAGTAAGGATCATAGACACAACCAATAGCAGGAGTAGTCTCCAAGAAGTTCAGATAACAGAACTATAGGATAGACACTGTAAAATAAATTGAATAAAACAAGAGAAAAGAATAAGATCCTGGGAAAAAAGAGTAGGCAAATTTGAAAGAGTGTTAAATAGAGCTTCTAGAAATGAGAAATACAGACACTGAACCTCAGTGGATGGGCTGAAAACAGCAGATTAGATTTGACCAAGAAAGAATGAACTTGAAGATAGATTTGAGGAAATTACCCAGAATATGGGAGAGAGAAATAGAAAATGTGGAAGTTAAAAGACAGGAAGCTAGAACAAGACAGCCTAATATACATCCAGTATGTTCCACAGTCGGAGTTGGGACAGCAGGGAACTTTGGGGATTCAAAGAGATTAAGGCTGAGACTTGTTTAGAACTGATTAAGGACATAAATCTTCAGATTCAGGCAGGAGAAATCCTGAGGAAGAGAGAAAAAAATGAACACATTTGAGCACATTGTTCTGAGCAGGATGAGTGAAAATAAATCCTCTCTTAGAGATTTTGCAGTGAAACCACAGAAGATCAAAGGCAAAGAAGATCTTGAAATCAACCAGAGAAAAGGATTATCTACAAAGGAATATTAATTACACCAAAAGCAGACTTATCGACAGCAATCACAGAGGTGGGAAGATGGTAGAATAATCTTCAAAATTCTAAGAGAAAATAACTGTTAACCTAGAATTTGATATCCAGCTAAACTACCATTCAAGAATGCAGAAAAAAGAGGCACGTGTTCAGGCAACTAAAGATTTACCACGCACAGGTTCTTGCTGAAGGAACTAGTGAGAAGTGTATTTCAGGAAGAGAGAGATCTTACCCAGAAGGAAAGCTTGGGATTCAAGAAAGAATGTGAGCAAAGAAAAGGGTAAATGTGAGAGTTTATCCAAACAGGCATGAATTGCATAAAACAACAACAATAACGACTAAAGATGGGTGGTATAAAAACAAGGTGGAACTAAATTCTGGCAGCATTTACCTATCAGGTGGGGGTAGAGGATCAGAGTTAACATGTTCTCAAATCCATATATTGTTTGTAAGGAGGGTAGAGAATATGATTAATTTTAGACTTTATTAAGTCAAGTACTCATATTAAAATGTTAAAGGTAACTACTAAAATGATAGAAATAGAATGTAAAATTGCCAAATCAGTAGAAAAGAAGAAAGAAAACAAAAAAGCTTGCTTAGATAAATAAGGTCTGGAGACCTAGTACACAATATAGTGATTATAGTCAGAGTTGCTAAGAGACTAAATTTTAACTGTTCTAAAGACAAAAAAGAAATGATAAATATGTGACATGAGAAAGGTGTTAGCTAATGATACTGTAGTAATCATATTACAATATATCAATGTATCCAACCAACATATTTTACACCTTAAACTTACACAATATTATATGTCAATTATATCTCAATGAAAAATAATAAAAAATGGGCAAAAAGGAAAACTTCCTCAATCCAATAGAAGTCAAGAGAGGAAAAAGCAGCAGTGGCAGTAATGAATAAGCATGGTCAATGGAAGGCCCAAAAAAGATGGTAGAAAAGAATTATTGTTAATACCGTTGGGAGTCCTAAAGGCATTGTAGTTAAGTAAGAAAATGACTATATTTTTACAATGTATATTAAAGAATGATGGGTAAAATGACAGGATATATTGGATTTGTTTTAAAATACTTCCAGGAGTGGCATTAGCATCATGGCAGAGTGAGTTGTTCTCTTTCTCTCTCCCCTCTAAGTTACAACCAGTTGGACATCCATTGACCAATGAAGGACTCCCAGCACAGCACACCAGAACACCTGAGAGATCCATGAATCTATACATCTGAAGGTGGGTAGACTGGACTTCTGGGAGGCAGGGGAACTAGGGGAGCAGCCCCCTCCCTCTCCCCTGGCAGCAGCAACCAAAATGCAGATCCTCACACGAGCACACACACCAGTGACCAGAGGCTGCAGGGGCAAACATGGCACTCATGGCTTAGCCCCCGCCCCACCCAGCAGTGGCAGGTGGTGCACACATCCTGAGGATTCAGGACACAGAGTGGTGCCGGTGACCCACCCCCATCTGCCTCCCCGGGCAGTGGCGCCAGTCTTTCCAGCAATGGGGATAGCATCCAAATCCAACGTGAATTTCCCTGACAGAGACAGGGTGCCCGGACGTGAGGGTTCAAAAAGCACATCAATGCTGGAGACCAGAGGCTGCAGGAGCAGCAGTGGCGCTCACGGCTCAGCCTCTGCTCCCCCCCCCAGCTGTGGCAGGTGGCACCTGTGACCTGAGGCTTCAGGAGCTACAGCAGAATCCGTGACACAGCCCCCAGTGGTGGCAGCCCCAACACTGGCCCTACCAGCAGAGGGGGCTGCATATAAGACCCTGGGCCCCTGGCAGTGGCAGTGAAACTTGTGAACCCAGCACTCCCTGCAGTGGTGCTGCCAGCACCCCCAGATAACCCAAGAGCAGCAGCACAGGTGGTGCACAGGGCAGCAGCATCTGAGTCATGGACAGCCTATGGAGAGCCAGGGAGGGAACATGAGACCCAGGTGACCCCAGAAGCAGCAGAGGTTCTGACAGCCTGGTGACCCCAGTGGCAACACCTGTGACTACAGCGACATCATAAGCAGCAAGGCACCAGCAACCTTGAAGTCACAAGCAGCACAAGGGGCCACTGATGATGCCTGTAGCAGAGGGAGTGGAGGGTGAAAAGTGCAGGCTCTCAAATACAACCAGAAGGAGCTCAGAACCATAGTAACCAAAGCCTTACCCAAATAAGAAAGGTGTTTACTACCACAAGTGTGCTGTCAGAGGAACAACTCATAAAGCACCAGGAAGAACTATGGTAACATGGTAGTACAGAAAGAAAATGATAACTCTCCAGAAACTAAACTTGAAGTCACAGAAGACTACGATCTAACTGACAGAGAATTCAAAATAGCTGTCATGAAGAAACTCAATGAGTTACAAGAAAACTCAGAAAGATAGTTCAATGAGCTCAGGAATAAAATTAACGAACAGAAGGGGTACCTCACCAAAGAGATTGAAACTCTAAGAAAAAAACAAACAGAAATTCTGGGGCCGGCCCAGTGGCTTGGCAGTTAAGTGCGAGCGCTCCGCTGCTGGCGGCCCAGGTTCGGATCCTGGGCGCACACCGACGCGCTGCTTCTCCGGCCATGCTGGGGCCGCGTCCCACATACAGCAACTGGAAGGATGTGCAACTATGACATACAACTATCTACTGGGGCTTTGGGGGGAAAAAAAAAAAAAAATCTTTAAAAAAAAAAAAAAGAAATTCTGGAGATGAAGGACACAATCTATGAGATGAAGAATAAAGTGAAAGCACTGAAAATAGAGCAGACTATATGGAAGAGAGAATTAGCAAGCTCGAAGATTGAAATCTAGAAATGATTCAGATGGAAGAGAAGAGAGAACTAAGATTTTTTTAAAAATTAAGAAATTCTGTAAGAAATATCCAACTCAATTAGGAAAAGCAACATAAGGATAATAGGTATGCCAGAAGAAGAAGACAAGGAGAACGTAGCAGAAAGCTTATTCAAGGAAATAATAGCTGAGAACTTCCCAAACCTGGGGAAGGAACTGGATATACAAGTAGGCAAAGCTAATAGAACTCCCAGTTATCTCAATGCACAAAGACCTTCTCCAAGGCACAGTATATTAAAACTGTTGAAAGTCAATGACAAAGAAAAATATTAAAGGCAGCCAGAGAGAGGAAAATAACCTAGAAAGAACCTGCCATCAGGATATCAGCAGATTTCTCAGCAGAAACCCCAGAGGCTAGGAGAGAGTGTAATGACATATTCAAAATACTGAAAGACAAAAACTACCAGCCAAGAATACTCTATCCAGCAAAATTATCCTCCAGATACGAAGGAAAAATAAGAGCTTTCCCAGACAAACGAAAGCTGAGGGAGTTTATCACCACTAGACCTGCTTTACAAGAAATGTTGAAAGGAGCATTCCTACCTGGAACAAAAAGGCAAAGGTTTACAGAGCTTTGAGTAAGATGATAAATAGACAGACAGAATCAGAAAATTGCAACTCTATATGAGAATAGGTTAGTAAACATTTAATTATAACATAAAGGCTAAAGGGAAGGAAAGCATCAAAATAACTATAACCACTTCAATTTAGTAACAATCTCACAACACAAAAAAGGATAATTTGTGACAACAAAAACATGGAAGGGGAAGATGAAAAGGATGGAAACTGCAGAGGCTAATGGAGATAAGAT